CAATGATGATGATGATGATCATGACAATAATAATAATAATAATAATAATAAAAGAAGCCACAGTCGTCATATGTATACTCGGTGAGCATAAGCAATAAAATTAAAATGTCGTAAAATTAAGTGAAGGAAAATGGGTAAAAGAAAAACAAGAACATGCGACGTAAGACGAAACCATTGATTTTCGTGTGTTTGTCGTTTCTTTTACCCGTTCTCGTTGGTCTTCGCTCACCACTTCGCTGAAACGCTTACCGTCTACTCCAGACATACGCTGCATGCTTGAATTTTTTTCTGTTGATTTCGGTATCTTCTTTAACTACGATTTGACCGGAGCTTTGAAGCGCGTTTTCAGTGGTGATTAATTTTATGGGTTACGCCTTGTACAGTTGATCACACTGAATAGTAGGCTATCAGGTGGGATGAGGTGAATCACGGCTGTGCGACGCATTCGTATCACACAGCATGACCATATGTCGCGTATTCTGCCTCTGTTCATTTCGGGCCTAAAACTTGCTATCCGTTTGTCGGCTGGTTGCACCGAAGCAACTGAAGCGAATTCTTCCTTGCTAAGCGAATTTTTAAAAATTCATTAGACGTCTTAAAATCGGCACTGCCCCCCCCCACCCCCACCCCCACCTTATTAATATCCGTATTGGCCTGTTCATGTCGTCGTTTCGTGCCGAAGATTTCCCGGCTGTAGTTGACTTCGACAGCCTGTGCGCATCAGTATTTCAGTCTCTGCGATTTTGCCTGCACTCGCCGAGAAGTCCAGACAGTCAAGAGCCGTGGAGAAGGTGAACAGTGGAGAATAGGTAATTAAGGAAAGAAGGGATATGTGCTGGTTTCTCGAAGGGACGGCTGCGCCTTTCGATTCTTGATACTTGCTTAGATGTGAAACATTGGGCATAACGAGGCATTGACAAAAAATTGCTGTTCGGCATAGGAGAGGTAGAAGTTGTTTCTCATTGTCATGTTGTAAAGAAATGACTTGCGTGCAAACGGTATACAAGGATTTTATCAATAAGCTTATTGGCAGCATAGGATCTGCAGCATGCTTCTGACTGGATCGTTTTGTCAAAAGACGAAGCCGCTGAAACGAGGAGAGTATGGTACTTTTATGTACTCATACTTTACGTACTCATTTCGCTGTGGTACGTCGCTTGTGGCGTCGTCTACAAATCTCGTGATACACAACATCTTGAAGAAAACTGCGTTTGGAGAGAGCATTTGTCTGCCCCATTCTATTCTTGAGGAACTCACTCATCTAATTCCAGTGCAGCAGGAACCGAGGGCTCATGAAGATTTTCCTGGCAACTGTGACTTCCGCAGAATCAATCGCCAATGTCTGAAGCAAAGAAATATTTGCAGAAGTGAAACTCGGTACGAACTCTCTGTCGGTGGCAAAGAGCCGGTGCTAACTCTGAATCTGAATTATCCGCTGTCATATCTGCTTCTAT